GCTGGAGGTTGTGCTGGAGGTTGTGCTGGAGGTTGTGCTGGAGGTTGTGCTGGTGGTTGTGCTGGAGGTTGTGCTGGAGGTTGTGCTGGAGGTTGTGCTGGAAGTTGTGCTGGCGGTTGTGCTGGAGGTTGTGCTGGAGGTTGTGCTGGAGGTTGTGCTGGAGGTTGTGCTGGAGGTTGTGCTGGAGGTTGTGCCGGAGGTTGTGCTGGAGGTTGTGCTGGAGATTGTGCTGGAGGTTGTGCTGGAGGTTGTGCTCAGGCGGGACCTCCCTGAGCGGCGGCTACAAGGGTGCCTCCGAGGGCGGCCGGCGACTGCGTGCTGAGGAGGGGAAGCGGCCGGCCTCCGAGCACCCGCTGGGCGCAGAGCGCTGGCGGGAGCCACGTGGGCGCCCCGCGTGGCGCGCTGCCTCGTGCTCGTGGCAGGCCGTGCTCGCGCGATCCACGCCACGTGCAGCGCCCACGCCGCACGGCCGTGCGGGAGGGCGGGTCGAGACGGGCTTCGACCAGGAGCGAAAGTCCGGCGCGTCGGGGGCATCCTGGGACGCACAGAGACACACGAATGCTAGATTACATCCTCCTTGGAGGCGCGCGCGTCCGCCCCGAACATACCGTAGACCCATCTTGCAGCAGATCGTTTCCCGAACGGTGTGGCCCTGGGTTAAGATTTACGGCCCGCAAATTGCCGAAAATTGCCGAAGGGCCGAAAATTGCCCGAAAATCCTTGATTCTCGGGGGTCGGGGGCAAAACTTGCTAGCTTCTGGTCGTGCTGGGGGGTCGTGCCAGACAAGACTAGTGTCCCCTCCGCTCCGCGAGCGTCCCCAGCACCGTCTTTGACTCTGTCATCGCTCTCCCTCACCCTCCTTGCTTCGCGCGTTGGCCGTTGCGCGCCGACTGGCCGGACGGCGCGAGTATTGTTACTTCCGACAGTTGAACGTTGCAGGTTTGGGGCAGAGGAAGATCATTTCTCAGCATCGATATTTTTGACGTTTCGCGTAGCCCCGGCAGCCCTGCCAGAAACGATGCCCAGGCGCATTGCCTTGATTAGGAATGTGGTGCAATGCGCAGTGGATTCTCGACGCTTCGCGTATCCCCACCAGCCCATCCAGAAACGATGCCCAGGCGAATTGAGGCGATCAGGAAAGCGACGGAGAATACAGAGTCACAAAGGGCTGGGAACTCTTGGGGGCCTCCTTGGGAAGTTCCGTGGCCACTTGGAGTCGTCTTGGGGCGGTCTTGGGGCCTCTTGGAACATCTTCGGAGCCATCTTGAGGCGTCTTGGGCTATCTTGAGGCATCTTGGAACTCATCTTGGGCTCTCCGAGGCCCTCTTGGGGCCGTCTTGGGCCATCTTGGACGCTCCAACTACCAACGAAACCCCCCGTCCAGGTCCAGGGGGCCGAAGGGGAAGAATGGAAGATGGAAGAGGAAACTCTCTAAACCACCTACGCCCAGAGGGCTGGTGGGATTTAAGTCGGATCCGGTCGAGACACCTTTCGCTGAGTGAATACAATGACGGCGGGAGGGTGCTGCGGTGATAGAAGTTACTTCCGGCCGAGGGGCCCACTTCAGCCACGCACCCAGGGACAGTGAATGACCGTTCGGACCCCCTCACGACCTCCAGCACTACCTCCAGCACAACCTCCAGCATAACCTCGCAACCTCCAGCGCAACCTCCAGCGCAATCTCCAGCACAACCTCCATCGCAACCACCAAGCACAAACGCCTCCAGCAACAAAAACCTCCAGGGCCAACAACTCCAGTCTACAACCTCCACTAGGAACATACCTCCAGCACAACCTCCAGCACGACCACACCACAGCACATAGCCTCCAGCACAACTCTATGCCAGCACAAACCTTGCGCAGCACAACCACCTCCCAGCAGAACCTCCCGCACAACCTCTCCAGCAACGTACATGAACTCAGACCTTCCCAGCCGAACCAGTAAGCACAACACGCCAGCCAAAACCTCAGCCAACCAATCTCTCCAGCACAACCTCCAGAACAGAACCTCCAGCACAAAAACTCCAGCCACACCTCCAGCACGACCTCGCAGCAAACCTCCAGGCACACTTCCAGACACTCACCTCCACGCACCAACTCCAGCACAACCGCCAGCACAACCTCCAACACAACCACCAGCACGACCGCGAGCACAACCTCCATCACAACCTCCAGCACAACCTCCTGCACAACCTCCCGCAAGCACCACCTCCACCACAACCTCCACCACAACCTCCCGCACAACCTCCAGCACTACCTCCAGCACAACCTCCAGCACAACCACCAGCAGAACACGACCAGCACAACCACCCTCATAACCACCAGCAGCAGCACAACCACCATCACAACCACCAGCGCACCCGCCAGCAGCACAATCGCCCGCACAACCACCAGCACAACCACCAGCACAGCCACCAGCACGACCACCAGCACGACCACCAGCGCAACCACCAGCACAACCACCAGCAGCACAACCGCCACCAGCACAACCACCAGCGAGATACCCGAGATTTCCCGACAGGCGCCATGGGGGGGGGGGGGCGGGCCGCTCGCGCGCCGACCACAGTGGCAGATACAGAGATACGCAGATACCAGATACGCCAGTCAGTCGCGCCAGGGGGGGCAGGGTGGGGGCAGGGACTTCCACCCGAAATATTAAAAATAGATATTTAAAAAAACCGACCCGGTTGTGCTTGGGGGTTGTGCTGGGGGTGTTGTGCTGGGGCGTTTTGCTGAGGGTTTGTGCTGAGGGGGTTGTCTGAGGGTTGGTCTGGGGGTGGGTGCTGGGGGGGTTGTGCTGAAGGTGTTGTGCTGAGGTGTTATGCTGAGCAGGTTGTGTGCTGCCCAAGGGGTGCGTGTGAGGGGGTTGTGCTGAGGGGTTGTGTGAGGGGGTGCAGCTCGAGTGTGAGTGCTGCTGGGGTTGGCTTGGGGTTGTGCTGGAGGTTTGTGCTGGGCGGTTGTGCTGAGGGGTTGTGCTGAGGGGTTGTGCTGGGGGATTGTGCTGAGGGTTTGTGCTGAGGGGTTGTGCTGGAGGGTTGTGCTGAGGGGTTGTGCTGAGGGGTTGTGCTGCGGCGGTTGTGCTGGGGGGGGGCGTGCTGGGGGGGGGTTGTGCTGAGGGATTGTGCCGGAGGGTTGTGCTGGGGGGTTGTGCTGAGGGGTTGTACCGGGGGCTTGTCCTGAGGGGTTGTGCTGGGGGGTTGTGCTGAGGGGTTGTGCTGAGGGGTTGTGCTGAGGTGTTGTGCTGGGGGGTTGTGCTGAGGGGGTGTGCTGGGGTGTTGTGCTGATCGGTTGTGCTGGGGGGTTGAGCTGAGGGTTGTTGCTGTGTGCTGGCGGGGTTTTTTGTGCTGGGGGGTTGTGCTGAGGGGGTTGTGCTGAGCAGCGGTCTGTGCTGAGGGTTGATCGAGCCCGATGGGGTGGTGCTGACCTGTTGTGTATCGGGGGGTGTGTTTGAGGGGTTGTGTCTGAGGGGAGTTGTGCTGGAGGGGGTGTGCTGAGTTTCTTGTCAGGTTGTTTAAGGGCTTGTGCTGGTGGGTTGTGTGCTGTGGGGTGTGCTGGGGTGTTGTGCTGGGGGGTTGGGTGCTAAAGGTGTTGTGTGATGGGTTGTGCTGAGAGTATGTTGTGATGGAGGGTTGTGATGGAGGGGGTTGTGCTGGGGGGGTTGTTGTATTGGGAGGGGTTGTGCTGTGGGTGTTGTCGCTGAGGGGGTTGTCTTGATGGGGTTGTGTAGGGGTTGAGGTGGGGTGTTGGAGAGTGCTGGGGGGTTGTGCTGAGGGGTTGTGCTGAGGGGTTGTGCTGAGGGGTTGTGCAGTGGGGTGGTGCTGAGGGGTTGTGCTGGGGGGTTGTGCTGGAGGGTTGTGCTGGGGGGTTGTGCTGAGGGGTTGTGCTGCCCCCCAGCACAACCCCTCTCCAGCACTTAAGGAATCGGTCCCAGCTTAAGAAATCGGTCCCAACTTTTTTGAATTTCCTATTTTATTTTAAGAAATTCTGAGACCCAGCTCAAAAAGTGAGTTTCTTAACAGACGATATGAGTGTATATATAAATATATATACACACATAGCTAGACAAATAGGTATACATATATACACAGGTAGACAGATAGATAGATGGGTGTCCTGAGTAGTTAATTCGATATGTGAGGATAGATAGATGGGTGGATGCGCGCGACAGCAGGAAAGTTGAAGAAACCACCAAAGAACCCAGGGCCATCGCAAATCGACCGCCTCCCCCTCCCCCCCCAACCTCCTCATCACCCGCAGGGTGGTCGCATCGGTACACTCTTCCGCATGGTCTCCCGCGTGGTCTCCCGTATGGTCTCTGGCATGGCCTCCCGACTGGTCTCCCATATGGTATCCCGTGTGATCTCCCGCATGCCATCACGCGTGGCCTCGCGCATAATCTCCCGCATGGTCTCGCGTGTGGTCTGCCGGAAAACGTCCATCCCGCACGGCCTCCCGCCTGCTCTCCCCGTGTGGCCTCCCGCACGGTCTCCCGCACGGACTCTCGTATAGCGGAGGCCCGTCTGCAAGAAACCTTGCACAAGAAACCCAACCCTGAGGCCCCAGGACTCCCATTGATTGTTGGCGCCGCGCTCCCCATCGCAAAACCATCGAAACCAAAGACACCCGAGGCACCCTGGAGGCAAGCAGAGTGTTTCTTGACAGGGGCCTCCACAGTATGGTGGCCCATACGGTCTGACGACGCTAAACTGTAATCAGTGCATTAGCATGGCGAACGACCCAGCCATATGCAGCTGCGAGCGCCGCAGGGCAGGTGGAAACTATGGGATGGGGCTCGTACAAAGACTGAGGCGCGCGTGTGAAGAACGGAACGACATTGCTGCTGGGGTTGTGGATGCCATGACAATGGACAGACTAACAATCCGATCATTGAATTGAATATGTATTTAAAATGCTCGAAGCATGTCCGAAAAATGTTTGAAGCATGGTTTGTGCATGTTCAAAGAATGATGTAAAATGTTGCAGACATCTGGAAAGTGTTTGGCAACATGTTTCCTCTTCGTTGATCGTCGTCCACAATGCTGGGGTCGCAGGGGTCAGCCGCAACGGGCTACAGCTGTAACCATCCACAGCTGATCTGAGCGGCTGTCGACCCGGCCTTGGGGAGAACAGCAGGGCACGCAGTCGGTGTGCCAAGACAAACGCTGTCACGCATGCGAGTCCCGCCGCTGGGACCTTCGGCGGAGCTCCCGATGGGGCCACGAAACGTGCGAGTGGTGCGCCGAAATGGGCACGGCCACGCATGCGACTTCTGCATTGAGCTGAAGAAGTCAATCAAAGAGGTGGCATAACTCAGCAGGAAGCTCTTGAGAGAGCCTTGTCCTTAGCACATTACGTCGCCAACAAGCAAGCTGACGAGCATGCTGGTGAATTTGCTGCTCGTGCCCAGCTTACGTACGCACAGATTTGCGGGATCCAGTTGGTCGATATGGCTGCCTGCCTGTTGCGAATGCACTTGGCGGTTGTTCTCCAGGATTGCCCCCTCCACCACGGAACTCCGTATGGGGCCACGAAACGTGTGAGGGGTGCGCCAAAATCCAGGGGAGGCGTGCGGGCGCAACCACTGGGGCCTTAGGTGGAGCTCCCTAAGGGCCACGAAACGTGTGAGGGGTGCGCCAAAGTGGGGTGGTGGCGGCATGCTGGCGGTGCAACCACTGGGGCCTAGGTGGAGCTCCCTATGGGGCCACGAGACGTGTGAGGGGTGCGCCAAAGTGGGGTGGTGGCGGCATGCGGGCGGTGCAACAACTGAGTCCTCAGGTGGAGCTCCCTACGGGCCACGAAACGTTTGAGGGGTGCGCCAAAATGGGGTGGTGGCCGCATGCGGGCGTAACGTTGAGGGTATCGTGGCCTCGCTAACCCTGTTACATGCCAACAGCGGGGGAAGTGGGTATCAGAGTACCTTATGTAGTGCTAGGGGCCCGTTTTGTTAGATCACAAAAAAAGTAGCCTTTAGAGTGGTCAGCTCCAGGTTTGGGTCCTTGCGCGCGAGTAGAGACGCCAGGGTGCGGTTTCGATTGTAACGTCGTGCTACGCGCTACTCGTGCCTTGTTCATCGGAGCGTGGTCTGCCTGTGCTCTGGAGCCTCGAGACGATTGCACTAGCTTCAGGAGTCGATCATTCACAATGTATTCATGTCAAAATGGTGTTTATCAATGTTTTGTGTGAGAAGGGCTTCGAGCGTTATATCATGCCATGTCGTGCAATATGTTTGTCAACTACGCAATGTCCAGTTCAACGGCTAGCTCACCCCAACTTTGCCTCATCGTGATCATTCAGCCCTAAGACCCTCCGCCGCCTCCTCCGTCATCATATCCCTGCCCATCGTGCTCTTGACCCTCGTCCTCCTGCTCTTCGGACTCATCTCCCTCCTCCCTCCTCTCATATAATCAACCTCCCCCTCCATAACCGTCCTCGTCATCATGCCCCCTACATCGTGCTTATATCAGCCGTGGCAGCCATTTTGGCTCGATGGCGTCGCCCGAAGACGACGCCTGGGAAGCGGCAGCGTTGGCAGCATTTTGCTCCGATAGCGATGCCGAGTATGAGAAGACCGACGTCGACCGACTGGACGGTGACCAGCGACCAGCTCCGTCCAGCCCAGCCGCCGACCACGGTGCCCGACGGGCAGGTCCACTCGCCATGATCGTGGCGCGTGCGGCCGAGGAGGAGCGTCGCAGAGCTGCTCGACGGCCAGGTCCTCGGCCGCGCGACTCAGGCCGACCTGAGGAGAGAAAGTCTAGAGCCGAGCAGCTGGCAGACGCTAGAGAGGTGAAGAGAGCGAGGCGCGAGGCGGCAGACGAGGAGGTAGTTGTCGACGGCGGCGGCCTGATAGTTGTGGGAGCTCGTTCTGAGAAGTGGCCAGTTGTGCATTCGGCAGTGATGGCTCGTATTCCTAGGTTCCACGTCGGTTACGACAAGCGCTGGCCGTTGCAGCCGCTGGTCATGGAGGCCATGGGGGTTGCGGACAGGGAGCCCCCAGACAGCTCGCATGATAACGACATGTCTAGATTGGGTGATTGGTATTTGAGCAGCTCGTCTTCGACACCATTCCGAAGTGGAACCAAACGGGCGCTGGCTGCTGCTACGGGGACGTCAGCACAACACATTGGGGCGAACATGTGCCGACTAGCGTGTGCAGCAATCCACGTGGATAGGAACCATCGTCTTACATTGGAAGCCTTGGTCGGCACGACGTGCCCCGACAATGCCCTTCTGGCTTATATTGAGTGGGTTAGCGCTGACGAGACACCGCTTAAAGTAGGCTTGCAAGACCTTGGAGATAGGATCGGCATCGGAGAGGCACCTCACTTGGCACTGGAGGCTGGTGATGGGGTCGTTGCAATTGCTCAGCATGGCGCGCTGCCTCCGCTGCCGACTTTGGCTAAGACCTCGGCGACCACGTCCAAAGTATTGCAGTCTGCTGCTGAGTATTTGATGGTGATTCAATCGCCGTCTGGTGCAATTCTGATGCTCCGAGGGTCCACGCAGTCGTGGCTTCAGCTACTGGATCGAACGACAGGAGAATGCCTCCAAGAGGCAGACAACCAACGGAGCGCAATTACTGAGTTCCCGAACAGGTTTCAAACACGCACACGCATCGCTACTATGGACAGGGCGTCGTCGAATTTCAGAGCTGAGCGAGGCATTTTGTACAAGAGGGCTTGTGGGTCAAAGTGGTTTCATATATACTTGGGGTGCGAGGTTCACAACCTCGCTGGTGTACATCGCCGCACGTTCGGGTTGTGCGAGGACGACATCAGTGGTCAGATCAACTTCAGCCTCGCAGTCAACTTGGGAACTGGGATGCAGACATTCGGGCGCTGCGTAGTGGCCTACGTCAAGGACAAGCTGCAGATCAAGAGGGGCGAGCCGCCACCAGATGCAGTCCTGTACCGCAAGCACTTGATCAGGTTGTGCATGGCTCGTGGGTCCAGGCTGCTCGCGAAGCGTCTTTGCATACAAAGCCTCCCCAATGGTGACTGGAGGAGGCGCGGCGTCATCGAGGTCTACGTCCCAGAGGGCATTGATTACGACCGTACTCGGATCGCAGACGTGGTTGGGAGGGGCATCCAATCCTGCGTGGCAGGCAGGCGGTTCAAAGTGTACCCGCGCTCTCGATGGACTGGGGCAGACCAAGCATTCGATGAGTTCGTCATGATGGAGGCCATCCACGGCATGGTGTCGGCAATCTGGGCAACGTGGTGCTCGGTGGCGGGATCTCTTGGCCCGCATCGTGGTGCGCATGCGTCGTTGGGAGCCGACAGGCCTTGGCACTCCGTTGATCGCGCGCCGTCCACTCGCCCTGGGGACATGCAGCGCGACGACACAGCCACTGGCGGTGGCGATGCCCCAGGTGCCGACGGCATGGCGGACGCATACGAGGCGGCGCGGATGGAGAACGAGCAGCGCAGGAGGAAAGCAACTGATTGGTTAAGGAGCAGGCCGCTCTCGCGGTCGATCGTGATACGGCAGACCATGGAACCGTTGCGGCAACTCCGACAGCAACACCTCGCTATTGGTGGCAAGCAGTGGCAGCGAGACCATCAGCAAGAGGCAGCGCGTTCAGCAGATGCGGATGTCTCGATTGATGCATCGTACCCGATTGTCGTGGCGGCCTCGGGGGAGTTGGAGAAGACGAGCCACTACCAGTTTCGAAAGCTGTTCGAGGAGTCTGGGCTCTGGGATCATTTACTGCAGCCAGGGGACATGAACGTCAAGACCAGGAACTTCGCCTTTCGGTTGTGCTCTGCTGCAGACTGCTTGGTATACGAAGCGATGGACATCCTCCACAACGCATTCCCCATCCGAATGTTCAAGCTTCTCAATGGCAGCAGCTTGGGCGACGTGTTATCGATGCCGCCCTGCTGCATGGATGATTGGAGCAAGGGGTTCGTGGGACGGCACGGGCTTGACGCCGACGGTGCGCAACTGAGTCCACGTGCGATGAGTGAGCTTCGGGCGCACGCTGCCGTAGCCAGAATGCACATCGCTGCCATCGAGACGAGGCACGCTAGCATACGGCGCCGGCTGGAAAGCAAAAGCGTGCAGACGAGCCCTTACGCGTTCACCGAGCTCTCGGCCGACTTCGTCTTGGACCACGTGCGCATCGGCGGCATGCATTGGCCAGGGCTGTCAGCGCAAGAGGAAGACGTCGGGGCCGACGGGGTGAGCGAGCCCGAGCCTGCTGTTGCGTCTGTCAGTAGACCAGGTGGAGCGTGGCGTTGCTGGGTGCGGGAGCAGTCCTTGGGGAAGCATGGACTCCAAGATTCAAAAGAGCTCTCCGCTAGGTATCGGGCCCTTTCGCCAGAGGAGAAGGAGGGGCTGGTCCAGCGCGGGGCCGTGGCCACCAGGTCGGGCAAGGACGGGAGCGGCAGCAGTTTTGGACTTCGGACCAGGGACCTTCAACGTGCAATTGACAAGCGTCGCAAGGAAGGCGCCCTCCAGCAAGCTACGTTGGCGCTCGTGGAGATGCCGAGCCTCGAGTCGACCGATCAGAAGTGCGACTGGGCGATCGAGCAGGCGATGCGGACGGCCACCAACGATCAGAAGAACTCGGTGAACGAGATGATGAAGATCTCGAGGGAGAACCTCAGGACGATTCAAAAGGCAGAAGGGCGCAAGGCTGACAGTGATCAAGCGAAGCTGGTTGTTTGGCACGCCGACCAGGGTGAGCAGCTGCGGCGAACTGTCGTGGACGCCATGCCGTGCTTGAAAGACTTTGCATGGGCGTTGCAGTTTGTACCAGGGGCAGGGCCAGTATCAGCACTTGCCGACGTGCTACATCCGACGGGGTCCACGGCGAAGTTGGCTCGGTCCATCAACGCTCGGACGCGCCAGACCAACCTTGGTAGCGCCCTCGACCATCAGTGGGTCCACATGCACAGGCCGATCTACCATGACGAGTGCGATCCGATCCCCGACGCCGCCATCGGGAAGCCAGATAAGGTTCCTTGCCAAGCAGTCGGCGTGTGCTGCTGCTCGCCCCCGCACCGCGAGAAGGCACGGCGGAGTTTCTACTCTCACATGAAAGCATGTTTCAAGAAGGTTTCTGGTAAGAGGAAGGCACTTGAGGACCGCATCATCGTTGCGAAGCTGACTCCGATCGACCTTGATGCGCCTGGGGCATCGTCGTGCGACGACCCATGGTCGGCTGCACTGGCTGAGGTGGCGCCCGTGGCGATCGACACACGCTCCACCGTTACCTACTGGCACGTGGCTACTATGTCATTCTCGCCGTATGTTGGGCACTTCAGGGAGCTGAACCTTTTGGAGCGGGTGGAGCAGGTTGACGGCGTGGTCGAGTACACGTTCGAGGCCAGCTTTGGGGGTTGAGAAGGGCGTACGAGATGTAACCACCTCACGCTACACCATGCGTTAGTACATGCACCATGCGTTGTACGTACAAGTGTAACAGCTACCTACTGTGATGTGATGTGTTGCGCTGCGTCTTGTATAAAAAATCATCTCCAGGTGAATGGCACGACGTATTTCGACAGGGCTGCGTTCAAGTCCCTGGACCTCTCCAAGGATTGGGCCGTCGAGTGGCTTGTTCTTTCCGACAGCGTCAGGGCTGTCCCTGAGTTTCGTGCTGGGCTTGCAGTCGCTGTCTCGACCGATGACTACGGCGTTGCAGAGACCTTCTGGAGCACTCGGAGGCGCGGGGTGGACAGAGGCGGTTCGGGTCGTCGCAAGGGGGGCGCCGACGATGTGGAGCCCGACGTCACGAGCGACCTAGAGGACGGCGACGACGACGGGTGCGACGACCGCGACGGCAACGCTGCGGGGTCAGACTCCTCCGAGGACGGGTGCCAGGACTTGGGGTGTCAAGCAGGTGGAAGCGGCTGCATTGTCCTCCTGCTCCCCCCCCTCCTCATCCTTGCATCGCCATGCCCCTCCCCATCATCCTCAAGCTCATGGTCCTCGTCCGATCTCTGACCAGCGTTGTCCTCCCACCCACCCCCCCTCACACCACCCCCCAGCCCCGCCGCAGCCCTTCCCGACGGTAGAAGGGTGGCGCAGCCAGGGGCGGGGGGGGGGGGTGGCAAGGGCGGGCAGGAGGGTGGAGTTTTGAGTGTCTGGGGAGCCCTGGGGACAAGGGGGAGGGGCTCTAAGCCGTAGAGGCTTCCCAGGGCCACGCTGACGTCGACGTCGCCAGCGAGGCGGACAGCTTTGACTCGTGGGACATGTTCGGCCCAATCGAGGCCCCTCCAGGTGACGAATCCGTTGGCGGGTGCCCCTCAGACGACGGCGGGGAGCATCCTCCACCAATTCCCCCTCCAGCGGTCGGGGATGCAGAAGGGGGGCGATCTCCGTCTGGGTCTGAGCCCGCACTTGGGCATGCGGCAATCCCGTTTTTTCCCCCGCCAGCTGCGCCCGCCCCTGGACCTCCAGCCCCCCCCCCCCCCGCCTGGCCCTGGTTCTGTCATTGCTCATGGCCCTGCCGATGCCACCGTTGAGTTGGCGCACGGCACAATTCGATACTACGCCAAGCACGAACGTTTTGTAGCAATTTGTAAATGCCACGCCGATGGTGACATCAAATGCGATCTCACTCGCACGAGCCGTAGAAATCCTAAGCGGCGTGGGCAAGGCCGCCCAATAGGGTTGCTGGCTGCTTGGTTGTCTGGCGCCCACCTGCACGCTAGCAAATATGCCCACAAGGACGGTTTGTATTTAAGGCTCATCTCGAGGGCGGAGCGACACGCAGCCAGGGATTTAGTGAGGGGCTTGCCTGGTGGCGTGGACGTTTTGGGCCACGAGGCGGCCATATTGGATGGCGATGCATCCGAGCCAGATGAGGTGCCATGAGGACCCCATAGCACGCACGCATCATACACACACACACACACACACCACATACGCACACGCAACTTGAAGCGCTCACCGCACACTAAGCATGTAGATATACGTCCAACGGTACATCCGATTCAAACTACAACTCCTAAATCCAACAACTGCCACGCTACACCTACTTACCAGACATCCGTATAACGTATGATTTAAAACTTGCAAGCGGGCCAATACAGGGTCTGGTTGTGGTCCACGACTCAGCCCCGACACTGCACCGCACTCTTACAAATTCTACTCACGCTACTCGCTCGTACTACAACACAGTCCATATCTCTGGCACCCGCTCACTCTCCCCTCGCAACTCCTGCTCCAATCGCCCCCAATCCCTCTCCTCCCTCCTCCTGCCTGCCTGCCCACTCCCGCATCTGCGCCCTGAACCCCCCCCCCGCCCGTTCCGCGTGCCCCTCCCGCCCGTCACTGCTCCGCCCTCTTCGCCGACCGCCCTGCCCAGCCCCCACCGCCCCCTGTCCCCCCTGTACCCTTCCTCCTTCTCCCTCCCCTCTCTTTCCTCTCTCTCCCAATCATCTTCCTTTCCCCTCCTTTCTCCCCCCTTCCCTTCCCCCCCCTTCCTTCCCCTTATTCCTCCCCTTCTTTCCCCCTCCTCCCTCCCTCCCTCCTCTCACTCCCTCTCTCCTCTCTTCTCTTTTTCTCTCACCCTTCCGCCTCTTCCAACGCTTCACTCTCTTCCCCCCTCTCTCTCCTTCTCTTTCCCCCCCCCCCCCTCCCTCTTCCCCTCCCCTCGCAACTCCTGCTCCAATCGCCCCCAATCCCTCTCCTCCCTCCTCCTGCCTGCCTGCCCACTCCCGCATCTGCGCCCTGAACCCCCCCCCCGCCCGTTCCGCGTGCCCCTCCCGCCCGTCACTGCTCCGCCCTCTTCGCCGACCGCCCTGCCCAGCCCCCTTTCCCACCCGCTAGGTCCACTGCGCTCCTGGGCGGACCCCGCCTGACGAGCGCCGTTGGTGCGCCTGCCCAGTGAGCGCACCTCCGTCCCTGCCAGAGTCGGGGATCAAGGCTGAGCCCATGGAGGCCCTGAGATCTCTGGGGGGTGGGCGTTGCGTGAGCAACGCCCAGGGCGCGTTCCTGGGTCGACGGACGCCCACGAGGCGGGTCTAGGCAGCGCACCTCCCGCGGGTGAGCAGATGGCGGGGGGTCTTGCAGGGGGGGGGCCCGACCGAGCGCAGACGTGAACGAGTGCTGGGGGGGCACTCGTCGGAAAATGGTTTCCCAGAATGCACCCCCCCCTGAACTCCAAAGTAACTTTTTAGTATCTCTGGAGTCACTTGAAAGTAACTCTTGGAGTGCCCACGCGCTGGAAAGAGTCGGGCGGGGGCACTGTTTCGGGAACCCCCTCTTCGGAATAGTCACGGGGGGGCACTTTTCTGGGGCTCGGCGGGCACTCTAGGTCTCGGGCGGGGTCTGCGGAGCACTATTTTGGCACTATTTTGCGACTCTGGGGGGTCGGGGGCACTCCAGGAGCACTTTTTTTTCAACTTTTTGGGCACTCTGGGGCGCGCCTCGGAGTGCCTAAAAAGTGCAGAAAAAGTGCTCAAAAAGTGCTCGGAGAGTGCCTGGGGGGGCCCGTGTGGCCCAGACTGCCGAAAAAGTGCTTGAAAAGTGCTCTGGGAGTGCCCCCCTCACCCTGACCACCGCCTTGCACCAGGAGCCGCCAGGGTGCCAAACACACCGAGCGAGACATCAGGACATCGTGATCCGCCAGCCCCCGACGCAGCAAGGCACGCGTTCCTGCGCATGGGCTCGTTTGGCGTCGTCGTCGTCGTCGTCGTCGTCGTCGTCGTCGTCCTTCTGCTCTTCATTCGTGCCGCCCCTCTGCGGGGGTGTAGGGTGCCAAGGAGCGGGTGGTGCACCAACCAACAGGGAACATAGTATTGTTTCGGGTCCTCTCGAGCCCTCTTCTGTGCTGCAAGTCTTTCTACGTTGGCGAAAATGACGTCAACGCCCTGCGCCATGCGTGACGAGGCTATGAGATAGCCCGATGTGGGAAGCATGACGGCACAAAAAATCATGAGGCGAGCCTTCGCACTCGTGAAGGGGAAGTAGGACGAAGTGGACGACGAGGAGGAGGAGGACGAGGATGAGGACGGAGAGGAGCAGGATGAACGAGGAGGAAGGGAGAGGGATGGTGGGATAGGAGGGGGAGGGAGATGGGGGTGGGCGAGGAGAGGATTTCGCAAGGCTGGCCAAAGATATCGCTCTGTGCAGCACCACGGGCACTGTTTCCCATGCAAATAACTGGTCTTTGTTGTCAAAATCGCCAGGCCCATGAGCCGTCGCAGTTCCGTCACGTACGTAGCCAGTTTGGTTCAAAAGCACATTTGTGCGACAAGTGTCACAGACACCTTTCAGCCCTTGACGCATTTTGCTTGGGCTGTTCAGATATGGGTGCCTCTCGCAAGGCTGACGTTGCAGCTGGTGCTGAGCCGAAGCGCTTGAGGAGATCCAAGACGACCTCGCAGGCGGGCTCTTGCTGGGCATGCGGCGTGGGGGTCACCGAGGAGGATTGCACGGGCCCTTGAAACAATCGCGAGATGGTTGGGGTGTGTGGGCTGTGGGGCCTATATGAAATAGTAATGTCAATCATAATATCATGTCTGGTGCCCGCACGTTGGGCACCAGCATGAGTTCCCAAAAATCTAGTATTATCCCGATCTCTAGTACACAGCCAATTCGACTCACTAGTGAGCCTCACTGTCTCAACTACGAACGGTCCCCAACCTTTTGAGCCTGAGCTTGAGTCTCCTTCTCCTCCTCCGCCGCCCCCATTACCCCCCGCCTCACATTGTTTGTTTTTGGGATGCCCATCAGGAGCAGCTGGTGCCCCTGCAGACGACCAATGGCCAGATCTTCGCCTGCGTCGGCTGCAATGACATGTTCGCGGCCTGCTTCTCCCACGTGACTTTGGACGAAGCTGCGCAGAAGATGAAAGACGGCGACCCCACGTTCACGCAGTCTTGGGACGAGGCGAAGAAGAACATGGCATCGCCCGCGCTTCGCACTTTCGCCCCCCAGAGTGCAGGGACATCCGATACCTCGTCCATCTCAGTGTCGATCAAGGCCACGGCTCTGACAGCCGCCGACTATAAGAAGGAGTACGGCAAGGCGCCGACTAAGAGGATCACTAAGCACATCCCCACCATGGAGGTGCCTTGCTTGTTCGGCCCTGGTACCGACTTGGTGTACCTTTTCGAGTACAACCCCATGCTGCCCTACCGAGTCGTCAAGGTCAAGCGTACGAGGTCGACTCACCGAGACACGAATTTGATGAAGCCCAATGGCCACCTCTACGAATCCCAAGGGCACGACACCGCCACCGGCGCCACCAGGACAATGGAGGCCGAATGGGGCGTTGACGCACTGAAGAAACTCAAGCCTCTACATCGGCTTACTACCGCCGCTGGGTCAACCGACAGCCCTGCAGCTCCGCGGTGCCTCCTCCGAACCAGCGGGGGCTTGCCCGAGGACGGCGACGTGGGGAGCGACTCGGGCGGCGACGCTTCATCTGGAGATGACACGCCGCACGACTCGGCGAGCACGGCTCCTACCGCCATCCGCCCCTCGCTGGCTGCCAGCTTGGTTGCGCCCCCTCGCGCGGCAAGCGTCTGCGGTGGCCAGCCCGCTGCGCCGCCCGCGCCAGCGGGTGCGAAGAGCGCCGTAGGCGTCGGCGGTCGCCTCTCGCAGCTCTCGCAGCATCGCGGACACGCCAGCGCCAGTCAAGCTGGCGATGCGCCGACTGCTGCTGCTGGAGGGCAGTCCGAGAACAGGGTCGACACCTACATCAGGAAGTTGGACCTCGCTCTCACGATGACTGGGACAACGAAGCTCGGCGTCCAGTACCACCACGCCCAGAAGCTCCTGCAGGAACTGTCGAGAAAGGCTTCGGAGTCTGGCGACACCAAGAAGCTCAAGCACCACCTTAAGCTCTACGCGTACGCTGAGTCCCTGGCACCTGCCAAGGTCGAGACTTTGTCAGAGGAGGAGCTACTCGAAGCTATGGCAGCGGTGAAGTCGAGGGTCGATGTGCCGACCGTTGTGGTCGAGGCCATCTTCTGTCGGCGCGCCTCTGAGAAGTGCAAGCCGTCCTCCGACAACAGGGCGGCTGTGCAATCCTACGTCGACATGTTGCGGCCGTGGAAAGGCGACGCCTCAGAGAAGAAGATGGATCCGCTGTACCCTGTGCTGCACATGATTGACAACGAATTCAGTGATAAGTACAGGCTCTTCCACCAGCACATGGTCAACACATTCTTGTGCCAGCTCCTTACCAACACCTCCCCCAAGACCATCCAGCGATTGAGGTGGGTGGCCGATCGTTTCAAGACCCTGGTGGACATGAAGACATCTTCAACCGCAGATCTTTCCGAGACGGAGGGCATGGCCTTGGTCGAGATCTCCAGCATCGCCATATCCCTCGGGACGCTGTGCGACATCGAGAAGCTGTTTACCGATGCAGACGGCGAGAACTTGTTCAAGGCCCTGGTGCAGCTGAAGGCCAATGTTGACGAAGATAGCCCATCGTTCCACACTGTTGGCATCGCGGTCGCGGACAACAGCTACTTGTATGACCTGCTCATCTCTGCGACCAAGAACGAGTCGACTTTCTTGGAGAAGAGAGGGCTGGTCGCCGACGTGATTGCGTCGGTCAGCGCAGTCAGCTCCCCAGCGACACCTACTGACGAGAAGCGTGATATGTTGAGGCGTGCGTTGAAGATCTGGCCCCAGGTCACCTGCTCTTTCGACAAGGGGGTCGTCTCTAACGTGGGCTTTGGTTTGGAGAAGTGCTTGGACGAGTTCATGAAGTCGCAGTTCGCGGAGCTTGACAACACTGCGGTCGGAGATGTCACGAAGTTGCTGGGCGTGTTGGATGATGCCATCGTTGCCTTCCCCCTCAACACCACGGTGCCGACGTGGAAGGCCGAGGGGGAGCGTGCGCTTCATAGGAAGCAACTGCAAGGCTCCATGGACAAGATCACGGCTGTGCTGGACAGGATGGCCACCGCGCAGGGCGCGACGCAGGAGCTGGACGCGATGTTGGAGCTGCTCGCTGAAGTTTCGTTCGCCAACCTCTCGGCGGAGATGGTCGACAAGATGGTTTTGGCAGTCGAGTCCATCGTTGCTGGGGCGGCGGCAGAGTTCCCGAACGCCATCGTGGACACGCACCACAGGGTTGCGAACGACATGCAGGAGCACTTGCCAGTGGAAGCTCGCAGCAACAAGATGTTCGTGCTTCAAGCTCTCGTGGAAGCGCGGTCGCTCATGACCTACGAGGCGTCTGTGAGGGGGAAGGTCGACCTTCAAGATGCCACCGCCATTCAGGATGCCTTCCTTCAGGACGTGGACTTGGGCGCGCTCTTGGTATTGATCGTGAAGGTCGAGGCGCACGTCCAGCATCCCCAGTGGGCCACGTTCGCCGACGGCGCCGTCGACGAGGTCTCGCGCATCCTCCAGTCATCGGTTGGCCTTCGGCTCGAGGTCGGGAGGGCGATCTATCGAGGCAAGGTGGTCACTGCGACGGCGGCGCTGGAGGAGGTCAAGCAATTCAAGAACGGCTTGTCGGATGGTGGATCGTACCTCGACGCTCTCGACCCGAAGAAGGACGGCCAGTGGGACCGTTTCTTCAAGAATGCCCAGAACACCATCATGAAAGAAAAGGGCGTGGTCCAGCTGCGAGGCAAAATCAACAGCCTCGACAAGGATCGGGCGGCCGCCTCCCTCGTATCCCATCCTATCCTCAGTCCGTCATCCCCCCGCTCCTGATCCACCCCTCCTCTACCTCCTCCCTCGTCTCCCCCCCTCCCCTCCTCACCCATCCATCCCCTTCCCTGCCCTCCTGTCCGCCCATCCATCACTTCTCTTTCTGGCACGGGGGGCACTATCTGTCCCCGACCCTTCCCTCGCATCCCCGCCCCAATGACCCCCCGTCCACGTCTGTCTTCGCAGACCCCTACGACCTCTCCTCCTCCGCCTCCTCCTCATCACCCTCCTCCTCTCCTCCTCCTCCTCTTATTCCTCCTCCTCCTTCTCCTCCTCGCTGACCCCCTTCCTCCTGTTATCTTGCCCTAATTTCTCCTCCCCCCGTCCTCCCGTCATCCCCCACCCCGTCCACGACCCCTAATCCTCGTCTTGCATTCCTGCCTATGTTTGGCTGGTCCAGGGCCGAATCCCCACTGGCCCGTCGTTTCAGTGATACGAGATGCGTGCGTATTGGGCAAAAACGCTCAGGAGCTCGATGGGCTCCGCGACATCGCCTCGAAGTTCGGCGTCGCCGACACTGCTGAGTTCCAGAATGATGCGACAGATGTCTCGAAGTGTGCCAAGGTAGTCTTTATTAGTGGCCTGGCTTTTCAGGCGTTCAAAAGTGCGAGTGACAAGCTTGACCTTCGGAGTAAGCTTGTCAAAGCTCTAAGCGTGTGGCCCGAATTCAAGCAGGCCAAGGAGTCGCTCCCCCCCACCCTGAGGCAGCGCGTACAGATGGCGCTGCAGTTTCAGATTGCGTTCTAAGTACGTGGGCATCACGTATGGTATGTATGTGGCACGTGCGCGGCCGTGTGCGCATTGCCTCCGCACGCAAGTGCATCAATTTCGAGTTTGGCTGGCTGTCTGCTGCTGAATCTAACGTGTATCGAATCCAGTGTCCAAATGCTTTCATTTTCTCTGCGCGAGTGCGCCAGTCGTGTAAAACACTGGCGCCGTGTGGTCAGGTATGTGAGTCGCATCGCGTGGTGCCTCGTCTACGTTTTTGCCAGGAGCTGCTAGTCCGAGATGTGGTTGAGAAAGGTAAGCACGCCTGCCTGTTTCGCTTCGGGGCTGGAGCGCCGTGCAGGTTGCTTGTGGGGCCCTCGCAAGGACCACTTACCCTAGCGAGCTAGACGTGTGCTGAAACTCGTCGTCGCGTCGTCTCCTCCTTCTCCTGCCCATCCACCTCGCCCGAATCCCCCATCACTGCCTTCCCCGTGTCCCCGCTCCCCCTCCCACTGCGCCTCGTCCTCATCCCCATGCCCCCCCCCCTCCCTCCGCTCGTCGCACCCCGTGCTCCCGCCCCGTCCCCTCTGCGAAGAAGAGGCGGAGGAGCGGGGGAGGAGAGGGGGGAGGAGGAGGAGGAGGAGGAGGAGGAGGAGGAGGAGGAGGAGGAGGAGGAGGAGGAGGAGGAGGAGGAGGAGGAGGAGGAGGAGGAGGAGGAGGAGGATGAGGAGGAGGAGGAGGAGGAGGAGGAGGAGGAGGAGGAAGAAGAAGAGGAGGGCCCCCCTCCTCCCCCTCCCCCCCCGTACGCCGACGGCATCTTCACTGCGAAGGCCTGCCGTCCGTCGCCCGTGCCGCGGTTAGCAGAACGAGGAAGAGGTAGAAGAGGGGGGGAATGGAAGGATGGGTAGGTGTGCGGAGTGGGAGGGCGAGAGCGAGGGACAAGCGGAGGGCAAAGGTGAAGTGGGGGAGGAGAGCGACGACGACGACGAGGAGGAGCCAGGAAGAGGACGGGGGAGGGTAAAAGGGGGGCCCCGATGGGGTCTCAAGGCGCGCGAGCGGCCTCGTCTTGCAGGAAGGCCGCATGCCATCGATCACGTCGAAACGAGGGGCCGATGTGATGAAGACGAGGAGGAGCGCGAACGTGACAAAGATGAGGAGGATGATGAGGAGGAGGATCACTAGGAGAAACAGGGGGGAGGGCGATGACGAAGAGGAGGGCAAGGAGGAGGAGGAGGAAAAGGAGGAAGATGAAGGAAACGGGAACAGTAATGGAGAGGAGGAACGGAGGCGGGAATGGGGGAGGGAGGGAGGAGGAGGAGGAAGGCTCGGGGGGTACGCTTCGCGGTCACCCCACCCCCCCAACTCTGGACTAACATTGCGGCCCGCGTCCGCAGTGATGCCTTGTGCGTCTACGCGCCCGCTTGTGCGCTGACGTCACCCTACTCAAAAAAATAGATGTTGCCCAATTGAAGTGTTATGAAAACCCGATGTGTTCATGTCATAGTATTCTGTCACGGCCGTGACTCCAGGTGGCGGTTGTTTGATCGCGGTGGCCCAAAATGGGAAAGCAGTCCTGGCGCACTCTAGAACTCAGTTTCGGCGATGTTGCCTTGGTACAGGCTATGCGAGGCGAGGTTTTCCTCAAGCGTAACGACTGGAGCCTTGGGTGGAGCTCCCTGCGGGGCGCGAAGGGTGTGCGCCAAAGTGGGGTGGTGGTGGCATGCGGGCGCAACCACTGGGCCCTCAAGTGGAGCTCCCTAGTGTGAGGGGTGCGCCGGAACGGTGAGGTGGGGGGGGATGGGGAGGTGGAGGGAGGCGGCGGCGGCGGCGCTCCATATGAGTCCAAAGTCAGCTCGAACTACGGAGTGTGGTGGGGTTACCCCCTCATTGCTGTAAGCTCGGCACCACACGACACGTGGGACACGAACGGCATGGCCCGAGTTTCGGTAGCCCGTGTGCGGCCCGTGCCGACAGGTGCACGCGGGATCCACCAGCAAGCAGCAACGACGCGGGAGACCAAGGGCGAGCAGGCGCCATACCTGGCCAAAGGAGGCGAAGGCGCGCCCCTAGGCGTCCGCACGCGGACGCCCAGGAGGGAGCATTTCACACAGCCCTCAGCCAGGGATGGCCCCCGAGGGGGGCAGGAGAGGCCCACGGCCCAGGAGGAGCGGGAAGGGCGAGAGGAGGGAGGAGGGACGAAGCGACCGCAGGAGGGATCCCCGTTTATTGCACCAAAACTAAGAGAAGCAGCGACTTCCTCGAAACTGGGACGAGGTCACACCAAAAAATTCATGCAGCGGCCAGCCGTGCAATGGTCAGCTAAATACTAACAACAAATCTCCGACGTTTCTCTTCCACGGGCAGACTTAAACTCACAATACTCCTGTTGCAGCGGCACACGATTCACGAGCACAAAAAAATACAGACACGCAAAAAGAGAAGCTCACACTGCGGGCCTCACTCATGTCCCTAGCGCTCCTGCTTGCCACCCCATTTCCATCGGATACGGAGAATCGGCAACAAGTGTGGAGGGAGGAGGAGGAGGAGCTTCAAGTGAGGCGGCCTCGACCCATCGAACGGGGCCGAACAAACATCGGACGCGTCTGAATCCGAGTTCCCTTCGAGGGGGCCGGACTGACGCGTCGAAGCCTCGCCTTGGGCCCTGACCCAGGCAAGGTCGGCCTCCTCGTGGGCAAACGAGCACAACACCTGACAGAAAATGGTTGCTCTTCCGAGCCCGCGTGCACTGCTTGCTCGAAGAGCAAGAGGAAACAAAAGGGTGAAACACCAAGGCTGGCAGTATTGTTCCCCGCCCTCCTGCTCTGGGTTTCCGTTTTGATCACGCCTCCCTCCTCCCCTCCCCCCCACTTCCTTGGACGCTATACAACCAGGATAATGTACAATCACGGGCCTCACATATCCCTGCACGGCGCATATTGAACACAGGGTGGGCCCCCCTGCGAACCTGGTGTGCTGCCAGATGGCGCGAAGCGCCCCCTCCCCCCCGCTACGCACCCGCGATTGCTGGTTTGGGAGATGATGAAGCATGTTACGCTAAACACCCTGCACCCTCGCCTTACGAAGGGAAACGGGTGTCTGCGGACCCCGTGATAACCGTTCGCGGGGTAGAATGGAGGAAGCGGCCGGGATGCATTGATGCAGGGGCCTCCTGCGCCTGGGCCCCTGGAGGGCGTGCTCGCTGCAAAACTGGTGTGAAACAGGCGCGAGCAGAAGCGAGACGACGCGGCATGCTGACCGACGAGAAATTGATCGAAGGTGGACGCCTGGACAAATGTTACAGTGTCAAGACCGTTGACGGCTTCCGCCTCTCACAGTGCGCCTCGTCGAGGAGGATGCTCTGCGGGATGCACTGCGGACGAAGACAACGTCCTCCAGCACCAGCAGGGTTCGTATAGAGGGGGTCACGTCGCTGCCGCCATCCTCTGCGACATCCAATTTCAACAGTACGTTCGCAGATATTTCGCGGACTCTATAGCCCATGTGAGGCAGCACGAGACGGACATTGAATGGCGCCACGCAGAGCTCTTCATCATGGGCACCGTCGCCAAACTCGTGATTATCCATGCTACTGTTGTAAGCTCCCTCTGCCCACTCCATAAACGCGTCGCGATTGACGACCCACTGCAGCAACCCTGCGCCTTCGCATAGAGGTCCACTCAGACTCAAGAACTCGGCGGAGCACTGCAAGATAGGCAAACCGTGGACTTCTGGGTTGATATGGACAGTCATCCCCCCGCACTCGGTTCCGATCAGTACACCAGAAGAGGAGCTCCCTGAAACGCTGATCGAGTCCTCCGAGATTCCTGCTAAAAGGCTACAAGGCGGTATCACCTGGCTATCGCGAAGCTTGCCCTCAGGCGGCGTCCGGAGCTCTTCGGAATCTTCCTTCAAACCCACTATGTGAATCGGCTCGTCGTCTATGTCAATACCGTGGGCGTGGAACAACTGAAACTTTACAATCATGCCCCATGAATCTTTCAACGAAACGTGAACCGTGCTAGTATCAGACATTGGTCGCTCCAAGAATGCAGTCAAACGGTCCTTCTCCGACGCGTCAACCGCTAGATCAACAAATGAGACACCAACACCCATCGTTGTGGGCGATCTGAGAAGCAGTGTGGCAAGATGTGCGGCCGGCTTCGAAAACCGAAAATCTCGCGACATATGCACCACCGCGTCGCACACACTTGACAAGAGACCGCCCGCTATGGACTCAACACTTCGCGAAGTCTCTGCCTCCAACACTGCCAAAAACTCCGCGTCGCGGGACTTTCTGACCGAAGCTGTTATGGCGAGCACAAGGAGCGACACTATCAACTCCTGACGCGTGTCGGCGGGTTCATACACTGGCGAAACACCTGCGACGTACATAAGACCTAACATAAGAGTCACTCTAGGTCTGCAATGAACAATACTCACTGCGAGACGTTCGCAGATTCTCACTGGGCTGGCTTTCAAGAAAGCGACGCTGTTTTCGGCAGTAATCGCAAGGTATAAGACGACAATATACAGGAGAACGTGGAACAAGAACACGACACTCGGGGTGAACAACCTTGGCTTGAGAGTCCCTGCCATCAGGAATGTAGTCAGTGCCGCGTTGCCGAGGCGCACCGCTGAGGACATATCATTTGCACCAGTTGACCTATGTTATAGCAGAAGGCAAAGACGAGTATCCTGGGGCACCCCCAAACCACTTGCTCTGAGAGTCGCTTGTCTGCCATATCCTTCAATTGACGATGTAACGGGTGCGGTGGTGACATGAAGAGCAGCCACTTTGCCGTAGCATTGAAATGATCATAGACTGAGCCCCACCGCGGGAAGAAACCAAACAGCCCAGAGCTGCGAAACCGCCAGACAATGACAACGAACGTCAGGCAGTTGAAAGGGATAAGTATGATAAGCCAGATACGCTCGTTCAACATGATTGGGCCCAAAATGGCCGCTGCCCTGGGCTAGGCGCTAAGTCCGTTTCACTGAGATGCGCCTGGATCTGGGCCTCTCGCTTGAGCCAAAATGGCTACGGAGGGAGGAGGAGGAGGAGGAGGAGGAGGAGGAGGAGGAGGAGGAGGAGGAGGAGGAGGGAGTGAGGGAGGCACGTTTGGACGCGGGGAGCCGCTGATTCAGACGAAGACCCAACTCAGGACTGTCGGGAAAAACGTATTTCAACGTGGAACTTCTGCTCCGTCTCCCTCCCTCATTTTGGCCACCGCAGCGCCGCCGCTGCTCTGGCCCCTGCCGCTTCACTCCTAGCAAATCCGCGGACGCACGATCATGGATGGAACTCGATCAGGCGTCAAGGAGAACTCCGAAAGAGAGTCGAGGCTGAAGCGACACGCCGACGATCACACAGCTCCTTCTTTTACCTGCTCGACTTACCAGGGCCACCTGCCTCCAGGCCCGACGGAGCGGTGCAGTTCGAGCACAGGCAGGACCGTCCGAACGCTAGAGAGCTCGACCGACAGCCCACTCTTCACAATTTGTTACAGCCGACCCGTACAATAAGGACGCACGATTGGGAGGCAAAGCCCTCGGAAGGCCGATTCGAAGCTTCTCCAGCGGGGCGCGGCCAACGAAAGTGGACAGGAGTGGACCGAGGAGGCACGGAGGCAAGGGGCACCCTTGGGAAAAATGCCCATCCTTGCTGTGCGGGCTGACTGTACGTGTTCGACCATGGACCCCTTGCTACCAGGGGCTCCTGTACGCACCCTGAGATCCTTCAGTTCAGCGATCTGGCCTCTGAGCGTCTCCATGGCGACTGGGGAGGCGAGGATTACGGAACTGATGGATTTCGACGTCCTGGCATACCGAAATCCATCAGTTCAATAATCCTCACCTCCACAGTCGCCATGGAGACGCTCAGGGGCCAGATCGCTGAGCTGAAGGATCTAAGGGGGCGTATCCTGGGCCGTGTCTTCGGAGGTCTCCAGCGGTTTTCGGACGGTGTCTGGCGGCCTGCAGCGGTCCTCTGCGGTCCTCTGACGGTCTCTTCGGCAGCTCCCGGCAGTCTCTGGCGATTTCCAGCGGCCTCCAGCGCGAAAGCTGGACGGTTGGGTTCCACAAGAGGCCCTTGATCAAGCACCTGACATCTGCGCGAGGCACGGCAGCGGAGGTGGCACAGAAAGCTCAAAAAGCTCGCACAGAGACAGAGGACACAAGGCCAAACAAGAGGACGAGCACGCTCAGCGCGACAAGCGTTAGGTCAGGCATGTCTTCCTACAGGCGGATTTGGGAAAACAATAGAAAAAGTCAATAAATGCTAAAAAAAAATCAAGACATCGTCCCCAGACTATGTTTGACTATTCTCGAGTAGTCCACCTGTAGAGGGACATGACTGACTTAAGACAAGCGGAGCGAGTGAGCGAAGCACCGCGAGATGAAGGAATGATAAGCCTACCCTCCTGCCAGGGTATCCTGCACCGCAGCGGCGGGCAGGGCACCCGAGGCCAGTGACCTGGCAAGGAGGCCAAAAGGCAGAGCCAAAAAGGCAGCGATGCCAAGAGTTGGATCGCATACGCGGCTGGGCCCCTGCGCGGAGCACCCAGGAGGTCACGCTGCATGCACAGTAGGGGCTGGACCACAAGAAGCCGTCCACAAGAAATCCAACCCTGAGACCCCAGGGCGTCCACTGGTTTTCTGGGTGTGGGAACGTCACGCTCTCCACAGCAAAACCGTCGAAACCCGAGAAACCCAACGGCACCCTGGAGGCAAGCAGGGTGTGTTTTGGCATGGGTCTCCACTGTAAGTGCGGAGGGCCGGCCTGCCTGGCCACACGAGGGCCGAGCGCTGGCAAAACCTGCAACCACATGTGCATCCAGCTCACCACCACCAGAGGAGGTGCCGCCTCGCTCGGCGGCGGAAATCCGCGATTCCCCATGGGAACGGGACCCGTCGCTAATCCACGCCCCCTTGATCCATGTTTGCGATCGCCTGAGGCATGAGGGCATGCGGCGCCCCTCCCCCGCGGAGCCTGCAGTTAGGTCGGGCATGTCCCCCTACAGGCGAATCTTTGGACGAAAAATCCTAATACATAATGCTTAAAAAAAAGTCCCCTGAATATTTTTAACTAGATTTGAACATTCCTCCTGTAGAGGGACCTGCCCGACTAAGCCTACAGTGGGGCTGCAGAAAGATTGAACGACTGAAAATGAACGAAGCTGCCTGATGGCCCCAGAAAGCGCCTGCGCGGCTTCGAGGACGAGGAGCGCTCGAGAGACAGCCAGGGAAGGACCCGAGGCACATCGAGCCCCGTTCGGAGCCCAACCACTCCTTATTTCAGCGTCTTGGCTGCACGTACCCCAACGATCCTCGTCGTCTGGTTTTTGGGCCATGAGTCGACTCTCCGACGGCCGCCCGGGAGGATCTGGACACCCCCTGGGCGCCTCGCGGCGAGACGCAGCTGCCGAAACGCATCCGGGGGCAGGAAGACCTCCAGGAACGTCCGACGGCGTCCGCGCTTGTGTCTGGCTTCCTGACGGACGGCCAAGAAAAAGGTTTAGCGACCACGAGCGGTGCGCGCGTCAGCCCGCGCAGGCTGCGCCGTGCACGCGGAAGTGTACGTGCTGGCTAAGAAAAAAAGGCTTCGTCGGCTTAAATAGTGGACCGGTCCGGACGTGGACCGGCTGAGCGGCAAAAGCCCCTCGCCGTAGCTGCGGCGAGGAGGGCCCCCCTGGAGGCCAGGAAGGCGCGAAGATCCACGCGCAGTCGTCATGGCGGTCCCGTCGGCGAGACCGTCGCAGCCTTCCGCACAGGTCGAGCCTCCGCGTCGATGGCAGCGTCAAGCTTGCAATCGTTGCCGCCGACGGACCATCCCCCCAGGTTGCAACGCGAGAGTGGAAGAATAAAAAACGCCATAAACATAAACTGGTGGCGCTCCGCACGGATTTCTGGGATCTGCGCTTGCCCCCTCCCCCCCCCCCAGCGCGCGGAGCGCGCCAGGGGCGACGCAGGAGGCGCCGCCGGGAAGGGGGGGGGCCCAGCGCGGACCCAAGAAATCAGCGCGAAGCGCCTGAAGTTTGTGTTTATGGCGTCATTCTTCTTCGAGCGAGCGGCTCCGCGGGCTGCAACGCCGGAGCGATCGGTTGGAAAAAAACGGGTGGGCAGTGGAGCGCCGAGCGCCGAGCGCCAGAGAGGTGCAGGGCGGGACGGCAGACGGGCGCAGTGCCCGCCGACGCCCGCCGGCACGACGGGCAGACCCGCTTCTGCGGAGCCCTCGGGGCACGCCGCCGGGCGCGCGCGCACGGCTCGCACTCGGCAGTCCGTTCCGCTCGTCCCCCCAGCCACCATCCCCCCCCGCCACTGGGCCAGAGGTGCGGCCGCGCGCAGGATCTGATCCGAAGAACTGCGCAGCAACTCCTCCGAGGCCACCGGGCGTGGCGGATGGACGCTTCCTCCCCGCACGTCTACCCTGGGGAAGCCATGTGACGGTTTGCACTGGGGAGGAAGAACAAAGCGGCGGCAGGAACGACAGGAGGTGGCAGATGACGAGGAGAAAGAGAGAGATGAATAGGGCGCGAGGAGGAAACTGCGTCGGAGCAGGAGAGAAAGAGGAGGAGGAGCAGCAGCAAGAAGATGAGAATGGACGGAGCACAATACCCTTAGGGTGCTTGGAGGGTGGCCAGGGCTCACGGAGTCGCGACACTTCACATGCCGTCGGCGAATCGGACACCTTAAGATGCTCCTGCACGGTCGCCGAGTGCTTCGTAAACAGCAGCATCTTGCTTAAGAATGCCTCTTCGACACTCCCCGTGACGCCTCTGAAGCCAAAGCCCCCACCGCCTGAATCGTGCGGCGCTCTGGCAGCTGGGCCAGCTCCCAGCCCTCTCCTGGACTCCCCCAAGAGGTTCCCAAAAAGGCTCGTGCCAAAGAACGCCACTTTCCACCAACAGCGCACGCACTGAGTGTAGAGCATTGTGCCCTGCAGGGAGTTGCCCCTGCGCGTTGGGAACTTCATTACAGTAGGGGCTCGACCACAAGAAACCTTCCACAAGAAACCCAACCCTGAGACCCCAGGACGACCATTCAATTTTGGTGTGGGAACGTCACGCATTCCATAGCAGAACCATCGAAATCCAAGAAACCCAGGGCACCCTCGAGGCAAGTTTCCACTGTAGCCGACTGCTGCCACTCACTAACACCGCCTCGCCGATGCCTTTGGGACTGGGAATTTTCTCGACCGCCCGTCGATCCTGGCGGTCCCGCCACGCTCGGCGCCCCTGCGTACCAAGAGCTGCCTCGGCCGGCCGCACTCGCTTGCTGCCCCCCGCCTCGCCCGCTGCATGCCCTGGGCCGGCGGAGAGGACCTCAGCCGCCCGCTGCTGCCCCCCGGCTGCCCACGCCTCGCCCGCTCCCCCCGGGTGTCGGAGATCCCCTTCGCTGCTGCTGCCCCCGGCTGGGCCCCTCTCTGCGCACGCTGTGCAGGGTGCTGGAGCCGCTTGCGGACGCTGCCACTGGGGCCTTCGGTGGAGCTCCCTTCTGGGGCCACGAAGCGCTCTACGGGGTGGGGGAGCCGCATGCGGACGGTGCCACTGGGGCCTGAAGTGGAACTCGGTATGGGCCACGAAGCGCCGTACTGGATGGGGAGACGCATGGGAACGGCGCCACTGGGGCCTTCGGTGGGGCCCCCCATGCGCCACGGAACGCTGTACTGGGCGGGGGAGACGCATGCGGACGCTGCCACTGGGGCCTTCGGTGGAGCTCCCTCTGGGGCCACGAAGCGCTCTACGGGGCGGGGGAGCCGCATGCGGACGGTGCCACTGGGGCCTGAGGCGGAACCCTGCATACGCCACGAAGCGCCGTACTGGATGGGGGTGACGCATGGGAAAGGCGCCACTGGGGCCTTCGGTGGGGCCCCCCATGCGCCACGGAACGCTGTACTGGGAGGGGGGCACGCTTGCGGACGCTGCCACTGGGGCCTTCGGTGGAGCTCCCTTCTGGGGCCACGAAGCGCTCTACGGGGTGGGGGAGCCGCATGCGGACGGTGCCACTGGGGCCCGAAGTGGAACTCGGTATGGGCCACGAAGCGCCGTACTGGATGGGGAGACGCATGGGAACGGCGCCACTGGGGCCTTCGGTGGGGCCCCCCATGCGCCACGGAACGCTGTACTGGGCGGGGGAGACGCATGCGGACGCTGCCACTGGGGCCT